TCCAAATGAGCCATTTGTTCTAGTTCTTGAAAAGGGATTTTTTAAAAACGAAATATCTCCCTTTGGCGTGGACTTTGAGATTTGTAACTTTGTATATCTTTTTTATGCCCAAACTTTTATGCAAAAAAGAGTGAATGAGATCTGCAAACAGTGTCTAAACTGCCTGAACTTGTTAAAGGTTTTGCAGAAAGAGAGATTTATTTGACAAATTGGTTTTGGCTATTGAGAATTTGGTTCAGTCTTAGCAAATGTGAAAAACTGTAAGACAAATAACAGAAATATCAGTATCAGTATCAACCTACCCTTAAACAGCATGCGCGAGCGTGTAGGATCATGCTCGTAAACAAAGCACAAGTGTTCCAGTAGAGATCCCAGCAGCAGTTGGTTGGGAATGACAGAGGCAAATTCCTGGATCGATGGATACTGTCTCCCCGCCAGCAACACTTCACAGTTATTGTCCGAGTCTGAGGCTGCATTTATACGACAAATAAAAAGGTGAATACTAGCCTGTTATGTTTGACTATTTTTGAATATCAAATTCACAAAATAAGCGAAAACTAACCAAACTGAGTCTAAAACGACTTGGATTGGAGATTACTTACCTTGTGCAATAACTTTGGCAATTAAAGCCATAATGTAATTCTCCTCTGACTCCATTTACTGTAGACACCAAGCATTTATGGTACTCACTTAACAGCTGAGCAAATAGAAATATACCAATGCTGCATCTTGAGTGTACAGTAGGGGTGGGTAAGGTCTAAGTAATTTATCAGCTTGAAACATTTTCAAGCTACCCCCCACACCCCTAAGAAATCCCACAGAAGAAATATTAGGGAGGAGGGACATCTTAAAACTGCATTAATTCAATTTAATTATTTAGACATACTACTTTGACAGATTGTCCACATGATACTTATTGTCATTAACATACAAAAAGAGTAAATGGCATTAATACTTGGCTTATAAACCCAAATTCTTGCCATGACTACACTCATGAATGAAAGGGGCTGCACATAATATTGCAGTGGACTCACTATCAAACTGGACGTCCTCCTCCGTATCTGTCAGACTGAATATCCCTCCTCTTGGTCCTCTGTCTTGAGTGGAAAGGCCCTGTTGGATATGAAAGCTACGGCTGTTAACAGTAGAAACTGCACTGCTACTCGAACTTTCTTCAGCCATGACTCTCTCTGTTGTGTGAAACATGACGTTTTGCTAACAGACACTTCTGTTCATCCCATTCAGTAGTTCCATTCAGAAGGGCCAAAGTTAAAATCCCAGCCCTTTAAATTTGGCAAACCCCACTTACAAGATTTAAAACTGGCCGAATAAAAATACCACTGTAAACCTACAGTAACCTGCCATGTTTCTACGGACAGGAGTTAGGAAGTATCTCTAAACTACTATCATTTGATGATATGATGAACAACTCGTGACACTATGCATCTAAACATTAATCGAATAAACATTTATGTATTGATTGTAGTTTTTACACACTTTTCTCTCCATAAATAACACCGGTTAAAAGAAAATGACAATAACAATGTTTTCGTCATTTTCGGCTAATACTAGATCTGAACTTTTTACATAGTCCCTACTCAGGCAACAACGCGCAAGATGATGAAACGTTTCAAAATAAAACATTAGAATCGGTACTTTAGTTTTATTACAATGCTTCACAATCTGATACGTCAATAAAATTAACCGATCAATAAACAATGAGAATATCAAGCCATTTGTGGAAAATGTCATTCCGAGCAGACGTCAAAGAAAAAGTAAGACGCGTTAAGTTAAAAAATGAACTTAGTGTACAAAGTAATAAAACGAAAAGGCGAAACAGTAAACTTTGTGTACACAGTTGAACATGATCACATGCTACGCAAAACATGTGGTGACCTGACGTTGTGCGTCACACCGCGGGAAACGACAACAGAGCGGCAGAGAGCTACGCAAAGTGCGCATGTTTATTTCATATATGAAATACTGAAGTTTATAGTTTATCAGAACTACTCCCTTGTCGAAGCATTGGTTTTTCACACTGAGCAATGAAAACACATTCAATTCCCGCTTCTTGTTTGACCTGAGTACCGCAGGGAGCAAAAGCTATCAAAACACCCAGAATGCAACTCTTAAATTAAGCTTCTGTGACTGATACCATATATATTGCTCCAGAAAAAAATGTCAGACTCGAGGTAAGTGTTTATTGCTTTGCATATTCTTTTCAGTAGCTTGCTACATTATAACAACGAAAAATAACAAAAGAATAGACTAGTGATATTATCTGCTATGCTGGACGTACTGTTTACTATAGTATTGTACAGTACTGTTGCTACTGCTTCCTTTCATATTCTGACTTTTACATTCCTAGCACAGGTTCTGCTGGAGCTATAAAGGCAATAGACAAACAGTCTGTGCATCAGATCTGCTCTGGACAGGTGGTGCTGAGTCTGGCCACAGCTGTGAAAGAGCTGGTGGAGAACAGCATTGATGCAGGTGCCACTAATGTCGGTGAGCTCAAGGGATGACAGCATGAGGAAACATTGCATTTGAGGTTATGCTGCATTTGGTCAAGCGTTTTGTTTTCATACAGATGTCAAGCTAAAAGACAATGGAATAGAGTTGGTGGAAGTTTCCGACAATGGAAAAGGCGTTGAGGAGCAAAACTTTGAGGGACTAAACAAGTTGTCTTGTGAACATCAGAGATAAAAGACTGTGGTATGCTTACACTTCCAGTCAAAAGTTTGGAATTATTTATTTATTTATTTATTTTTTGGCATTTTTTTTTACATGTCGGCGCGCTGCCCACAAGGCCATTGGCGCCGACATAATTGATTTTTTTAAAGGTTTTTGAAAGACGTTTCTTATGCTGACCAAGTCTGCATTTATTTATATTTTTAATACATTTTAAAATGTATTAATTTATTCCTGTGACCGCAAAGCTGAATTTCCAGCAGCCATTACTCCAGTATTCAGTGTCACATGATCTTTCAGAAATCATTCTATATGCTGATTTGTTGCTCAAGAAACATTTCTTATTATTATTATTATCAATGTTGAAAACAGTTTTTGCTGCTTAAAGGGGTCATATGATGCTATTTTAAAGATCATTATTTTGTGTATTTGGTGTAACAGAATATGTTGACATGCTTTAACGTTCAAAAAACACATCATTTTTAAATACTGTACATTATTGTAGGTCCTCTATGCCCCGCCTCTCTCAAACACGTCGTTTTCAACTAAGCCCCCTCCTTTGACAAGCGCAGTCTGCTCTGATTGGCCAGCTGACCCAGTGCATTGTGATTGGCCGAACACCACAAACATGCGTCGGAAATGTAACGCCCCTTACCATAATCGCTTCAGCTTTCAAAGTAAATATCAAGACAGTTAATAATGTGGTTGACTCTTAACTTTTATAAAGAATATCTCTTTGGATTTGAGACTTCAGTCTTTGCAACGTTACAGATCTTCTTTATGCACCAAGAGCTTGTAACACTCCAAAGAGAAAGGAAAACTTGAAATCGCATCATATGACCCCTTTAATATTTTTGTGGAAACCGAATGATTTCTGAAGGATCAGGTGAAACTGAAGATCTGGAGTAGTGGCTGCAGAAAATTCAGCTTTGCCATCACAGGCATAAATTATGGTTTAAAATATATTAAAATAGAAAACAGTTATTTTAGATTGCAATACTATTTCACAATATTATTGTTTTTATTACTGTATTTTTGATCAAATAAATTCAGCCTTGGTGAGCATGAGAGACTTCTTTCAAAAACATTATAAAATTGAAATGTTTTTTTTTTATTTTGACCAGTAGTAACTTATTTGTGTCCTTTCAACTTTTGCCCAGTAAGGCAAGGCAAGTTTATTTATATAGCACATTTCATACACAATGGTAATTCAAAGTGATTTACGCAAAAGGAAGTAAAATAATCATAAAAAAATTATCACAACAATAAAACAACGAATGTAAAAACTTTTAAAATTATTTAAAAATTGATTTAGACAGTTACAAATAGAAAATGATTATATATGAAATACAGTGCAATCAGTTTGGACGTAGCACAGTGCTCATTGAATAAATGCACAGCTAAACAGATGAGTTTTGAGTCTGGATTTAAATGTGGCTAATGTTTTAGCACATCTGATCTCTTCTGGAAGCTGGTTCCAGCTGCGGGTGGCATAATAGCTAAAAGCAGACTCTCCTTGTTTTGTGTAAACCCTTGGTGTTTCTAACTGACTTGATCCTAATGATCTGAGTGGACTGTTAGGTTTATATTCAGTGAGCATATCTGCAATGTATTTAGGTCCTAGGCCATTGAGTGATTTATAAACGAGTACTTTAAATTGTAATTTATAAGTACTTTAAAATCAATCCTAAATATAACTGTAAGCCAGTGTAAGGACCTGAGGACTGGTGTGATATGCTCAGATTTTCTGGTTCTAGTCAGAATCCCAGCAGCGTTCTGGATGAGCTGCAGCTGTCTAATGG